ACCCTCTTAAAACCTTGCCTACCTCCACTATCTCCTCCATGGAATTCATATCCTCCATGCAATTTTCATCTCATCTCTCCACTGAACGGAACCACACCCACAAAATCGTCTCATCTCTCAACGGAACCACTTTGCCATCGACTTGCAATCGCATCCCTCTGATTTGCTGCCTTGGACTGATTGGGAAGGTTGCAGATGGAGGTTTCAAATTATTTTCTTCCTTTGCTTGCATAATATGTTATGGTTTTTTGTAATTTTATTTTACTTTACCTTTAACTTTCATTCACTCATGTTTGACTTCAAGGTCAATTTTGTTCATCACTTGCCATGCTAATTTCAAATTCTTTTCTTCAGGTTTTTTTTTTATAGATATTCCATCAAAAGAGATTCTTTGGAAGTCATGGATGGTGAGTCCATTTTATATTCTATATGGAATTCTGCAATATTTTGATTTGTTTTTTATGTTTTCTGATTCTCCTTTGTATGTGATTCTATTTTATTCGTTTTTCTTAATTTGCATCTAAAATTTGTGTCCTGTGTTATAGGAGGTGAAACATTGATCTGTGTATGTTTTGATTAACCTAATCATTGTCAGTGAAGTGGATTGAGGGAGTGAAAGAATTGAGGGGAGAGAAAGGAGAAGTTGTAGATTTTTTTCCTTGCAACTTTTTTATTTGGTAATTTTTTCTTTTTGCCTGCTTCTTGCACCGAGGAAATTAATTATTATTGTTGGTGCTTGCCGTTACAACTACAGAACTACATATTATGGATGAGATTTTACTGCTTATCTTTGTTCACTCAAGCTATACTATTGAGGTTAGACTTTTAAAACTGGTGCTATCCTTTCTAATATGCTAAACGCCTAAACCAATGTTCTAACAATAAATTGATTTCCTTGGCTTCCCTGGAAACATTTGACATGAATTTATCCGTAGGTACAGAACGACAATGAGGTGCATACCTCTTTCTGACTACACTCTCTGATTCTCAGCTAGCTGAAGATGAAACATGATTGATTACTCAAGATCTTATCTTGCTCTCATTTCAAGTAAGCCACGAAACATGTGAGACCAGTACTCATGGAGGTTTTTCTCAGTCCATTATATGTATATATTCACCAGATAAAAGATAGAGATGTGTGTTTGGTGTTGCACTACTGTGATGCATATTGTATATATTCACCAGATAAGAGATAGAGATGTGTGTTTCGTGTTGCACTACTGTGATGCATATATAGTTTTACTGACTTAGTTCATCAATTCTACATCTATCTATCATCATTACATGTATTAAAAGTCACTTTTCGAAGGCAATATTAGATTTTATAATTAATCATTGTTCTACTATGGTTCAATTAATCAAACTTTAGTGTGATTGGAAGTCTTGCTTGCATGAGTGTGTAATTATCACATTACGATTTAGTATCAGCATATGTTTTTGATTTGGTTATTGTACTTTCAACAACAGTGCTACATAAAGCAAATAGTTGTTTTAGTCGTTCAACAAATATAATGGGTCTAAAATTTCTAGAGGGGTTTTCTTCCATTTATCTTCTTTAGTAGCATGTGATTAGTTTTCCCTTACAAATAGATCTGATTGGTTATGGAAACCACTGGAAGGCTGATAGCGAATCTGCAAGTGTACAGATTGCTCGAAGTAATAAAAAGATCGAACCACAGAGATTGCGTAGTTTATACTCTAAATTAACTAAATTTGGAATGAAAGGACGTGAAAGTAAAAATAAAAATAAAGAAATGATTGGTTGTTGGTGTGAAACTTAACTGCAATTAAATAAAAGAAAGTGAATAAACGGTTGAAGTGAATTCAATTTAAAAGCGCGCTAGAGATCCTGATTTCGTTAACCTTCTCCTTATGTATCTTCCCAAACAGTTATAATTATGAATTCAATAGATTATCAAGGTGCTAAACCTAATTGTCCACTTATCAATTCCTTGCATAAGTGTCCCTTCCAATTAATTAGTGATAGCTAATTCCTTAGTACCTAATCCTAATTAATTAGAGATGAAGTTAAATTCAATTCAGGCAAACACAAGCAATTCGTTACCCTTATTCCTAAGGTGCATAGACCCTTGCTCAACTTCTCCCCAAATCCCTAAATTCTACCAATTTTCCAATTGCATAGAAAATAGTATGACAAACTATTGCAATAGAAAGTTTCAATTAAAACAGAGGAGAAATTCAAGACATAAAATATGATCCATAATCATAACTGAAAATTGGTTCAAAACATAACTTGAAAGAAAACTAGATCAATTACCCTAACACTAGAGAGTTTAGCCTAACAATATCATAGAGAAATTACAAGAGAAATACCTATGAAATGTATCACCTACGGCTGCTGCCGTTCTCCCCCCATTCATGTTCCAATTCAATATATATATATATATATGTCCAAAAACCTAAAATCTATATTGTTGCCACCGCCACCTTTTTCCTTCTGTTCTGTTTCTTTTTTTATCTTCATCACGTGACAACTTTCTATCAATAAGACAAAACTCTTATGGCACGTGCCGCAGCTCCATTGGACCAAGGTTCAAGAGGGTGGAATCCAGTGCTTCACGCACCTCTGTCTTATGGCAGACCCCCAGCAAGATCGCGCCACGTGGCAGGGCTGGAAGCTTCAGCCGTTGATTCCTTGCGGGTGCACCGTAATTTTCATGGACCATCAGCACCTGATCAGCTCCTCTTTATTATTCCGAAAATCCTAATAAAATTCAAATAAAAATCCTAAAAAATATAGAAAAATACTAAAAACATATAAAAATAATAAAATGCATGAAATAATCCTAAGTGACCTCAAATGACTAAAATATCCTAAATAATATATTAAAATGCATGAAAATTATATAGAAAAATAGCATTAAATCCCGGGTCATCACCACCCCTATACTCAACGGCAGCTTGTCATCAAGCGGAAACTTAAGAAAGCTTGTCCTCAAGCACAGAATAAATCAATTCCAAATCAATTGCCAACACTTTTAAAACACGAGATACACATCCAACAAAGAAAGATTAGTTCATGCGCATACTGGCTAAGAAAAACAAGGAATTCAGTTCAGAGAAAGTGAAATCAATAGGATAATGAGACCTAGAGTTCACATCAAAACTCACAATTTTAATCATCAATCATCAATTATTTAGTGCATCTGACAGTACAAACACTATGCTTCGGTTCTGATAATCAATCAAATCAAGATCAGACAGTGTCATGCTATGCAACAAGAAAGAGATTCTCACAGGTTGTAACTTGGTCAAGGTGTAACTTTAGGTAAGATAAGAAAAGGATAAAGTAAGGCTACACAAACAAACAGTTAAGTGATCTATTTCTTCTTTTAAGTTAAGAGTATTTATTTACAGCACTCAAGGTTCTTTCTCTCTACTGTCCTCTTTTTATTTGCAAACTTTGCTTTTTCTTTTTCTTTTTCTCATTTTTTTCATCATTTTTTTCAAGCATTTTGCTTCCGTTTCATGCGCACTAGGAGAGAGAGGGAACTGATACGCTAATATTTTTCTCTTTGCTCAATTCACAATTCAGATCACTTAACAGTTCACGAATATTTTCACAGTTGGGGACCAAGAAAATTCACATTTAGGCTCAACTTGGGCAACTAAGGAATAACTGAAACAAAGTCTGAAGGCCATCAAGAATGCCTAATAATCTCTTAACAAATCACAAGCATAACAATATCGAACCGACATGCATTTCAAAACAAAACCAAACAAGTGCAAGCAAGTCAGGAATCATCAGAGATCACTCATCACTCAACAAAAACAAGGGGTAAAGAGATGAACCCCAGTGAACTCCTATTACAATATCCATTGAAAACACCACTCAGTCCTAAAATTCACTTACTTCTCTCAATAGCATGCCATGTCCCAATACATTAAGAGCACATGTGTATCACAATTTCATAAAAAAACAAGGCATAAATTAAGAATTGAAACCACTTGAGTAGTCAAATACGAAGGCAGATAACTCGGGGTAAAAGCATGTGCAAAACTAGTGTGTGCAACTAAATAACTAAATGCTAAATGTATAATCATGCAATTAAATGAGAAACGAGTGGTTCAGTAAAACTCTCTGTACTCAATATGGGTGCAAAAAATGATAGCACCAAGACTCTATCAGCTGGGCCATCCAGCTTATATTAATTCATGTAAATCACTTAATCCTTGCAAAAATGAGCACACAAATTAAAATACCACAATACAACTCAAATAATTCAATGAGATAATATGACTCAAAATAAAATAGAAACTCAAAATAAAAGGGAAGTATTTTAAAAAATATTTTTGGAATTTTCTAATTTTTCTTGAATTTTTTTTAAAATTTTCTGGAAAAAAAAAACATTTTTATTTTAACAGGGCCTAAAGCAGCGGAATAAGAAGAACTGCTGCAATAGACTGGCGCTGGACAACTAACGGCGCAACTGCGCCATATCTGGCGCTGCAAATTCCAGCAAGCTCTTTTTTTCCGAGCTTATGCAGCGGTTTCCATATTCGCTGCTATAGAGTGGAGCAGAAGCGCCACAAAAAATCCTTATTTTACCAGAATTTTCTAGACTTGACCAATTTTTCAGCTCTCTAACCTATGCAATGCATGAGACTCTACTACACACTAAAACTAAAAAAATTCATAAAAAAAATAAACATATTTAAGACTNCAGTTATTTTTTAACCTTTGGGTTGTCTCCCAAGAAGCACAATGTTATATAGTCTTTGTTAGACTCCTGCAGACTCAAAATTTTATCCGGGATTAATTGCAAATTGCATTAAATCCTTAAGATCATGTAAATTATCACACAAATTTATCATCACAATGCATTCACTCTCAAAGATCATGGCCAAATAAATCAACTTAAAAATAAGGAAGCTAAGGAAATTCTTATCAATGTATTTTCATGAGTGATTCTTTCCCTTGCCATATTCACCTTTGATCCCTAGGTCATTAAAATATATGCTTAGACTTTGAGGCTTACCTGAATTCAGCATCAATTCATCTCCATACACAAAATCCACATTGAAGGATTCTTTTGGTCCGGAGTCAATCAATGCTTCTTTCGCTTCACCCATTGTCATGTCTTTTTCTAGTTCTTGACAAACTGTGAGTTCTTCTTCAGGAAATTCTTTCTCTTCTTCCTCAATGGCTTGACGAGAGATATTTTCTTCAACTAACTCGCAATTCTCATTTTCTTCAATTGGTGCTTCCTCACATTGCTCCAAGGAAACACATTCATGACCAATATGTGATTCATCATGACTTTGATGACCTGCTCGCGTCCGCAGAATGCACGATACTTTTTCTCGTAGGACATTGGATTGGGCTATCCATTCATGTTCTTTTTCATGAGATCCACTTTCACGAATACACTTCCAATTAGCATAAAATTCTTTCTCCAACTACAATATAACACGCCTTTTTTTAGCATATTCTGCTTCAAGTTTAACTCGGAGTTTTCTCTCGAACTCCTCCTGGGCATTCATAGCTTCAATCTTAGATTGCAGCTCCGCTTCATACTTAGCCCAGATTCTTGCTTCAAACTCCTCTTTTGTTTCAGCCATGGTGTTCGCTTGATTGTATCTTGCATGCACTAGCAAACAACAATCAGTAGCACCCGCACAAGAGTAAAAAATTAAAAAAAAATCCTAACAAATAGATTCAGAAAAATTAGAGAATAAACTAAACACAATCCCCGGCAACGGCGCCAAAAACTTGATAGCGAATCTTGCAAGTGTACAGATTGCTCGAAGTAATAAAAAGATCGAACCACAGAGATTGCGTAGTTTATACTCTAAATTAACTAAATTTGGAATGAAAGGACGTGAAAGTAAAAATAAAAATAAAGAAATGATTGGTTGTTGGTGTGAAACTTAACTGCAATTAAATAAAAGAAAGTGAATAAACGGTTGAAGTGAATTCAATTTAAAAGCGCGCTAGAGATCCTGATTTCGTTAACCTTCTCCTTATGTATCTTCCCAAACAGTTATAATTATGAATTCAATAGATTATCAAGGTGCTAAACCTAATTGTCCACTTATCAATTCCTTGCATAAGTGTCCCTTCCAATTAATTAGTGATAGCTAATTCCTTAGTACCTAATCCTAATTAATTAGAGATGAAGTTAAATTCAATTCAGGCAAACACAAGCAATTCGTTACCCTTATTCCTAAGGTGCATAGACCCTTGCTCAACTTCTCCCCAAATCCCTAAATTCTACCAATTTTCCAATTGCATAGAAAATAGTATGACAAACTATTGCAATAGAAAGTTTCAATTAAAACAGAGGAGAAATTCAAGACATAAAATATGATCCATAATCATAACTGAAAATTGGTTCAAAACATAACTTGAAAGAAAACTAGATCAATTACCCTAACACTAGAGAGTTTAGCCTAACAATATCATAGAGAAATTACAAGAGAAATACCTATGAAATGTATCACCTACGGCTGCTGCCGTTCTCCCCCCATTCATGTTCCAATTCAATATATATATATATATATATATGTCCAAAAACCTAAAATCTATATTGTTGCCACCGCCACCTTTTTCCTTCTGTTCTGTTTCTTTTTTTATCTTCATCACGTGACAACTTTCTATCAATAAGACAAAACTCTTATGGCACGTGCCGCAGCTCCATTGGACCAAGGTTCAAGAGGGTGGAATCCAGTGCTTCACGCACCTCTGTCTTATGGCAGACCCCCAGCAAGATCGCGCCACGTGGCAGGGCTGGAAGCTTCAGCCGTTGATTCCTTGCGGGTGCACCGTAATTTTCATGGACCATCAGCACCTGATCAGCTCCTCTTTATTATTCCGAAAATCCTAATAAAATTCAAATAAAAATCCTAAAAAATATAGAAAAATACTAAAAACCATATAAAAATAATAAAATGCATGAAATAATCCTAAGTGACCTCAAATGACTAAAATATCCTAAATAATATATTAAAATGCATGAAAATTATATAGAAAAATAGCATTAAATCCCGGGTCATCACACCCCTATACTCAACGGCAGCTTGTCATCAAGCGGAAACTTAAGAAAGCTTGTCCTCAAGCACAGAATAAATCAATTCCAAATCAATTGCCAACACTTTTAAAACACGAGATACACATCCAACAAAGAAAGATTAGTTCATGCGCATACTGGCTAAGAAAAACAAGGAATTCAGTTCAGAGAAAGTGAAATCAATAGGATAATGAGACCTAGAGTTCACATCAAAACTCACAATTTTAATCATCAATCATCAATTATTTAGTGCATCTGACAGTACAAACACTATGCTTCGGTTCTGATAATCAATCAAATCAAGATCAGACAGTGTCATGCTATGCAACAAGAAAGAGATTCTCACAGGTTGTAACTTGGTCAAGGTGTAACTTTAGGTAAGATAAGAAAAGGATAAAGTAAGGCTACACAAACAAACAGTTAAGTGATCTATTTCTTCTTTTAAGTTAAGAGTATTTATTTACAGCACTCAAGGTTCTTTCTCTCTACTGTCCTCTTTTTATTTGCAAACTTTGCTTTTTCTTTTTCTTTTTCTCATTTTTTTCATCATTTTTTTCAAGCATTTTGCTTCCGTTTCATGCGCACTAGGAGAGAGAGGGAACTGATACGCTAATATTTTTCTCTTTGCTCAATTCACAATTCAGATCACTTAACAGTTCACGAATATTTTCACAGTTGGGGACCAAGAAAATTCACATTTAGGCTCAACTTGGGCAACTAAGGAATAACTGAAACAAAGTCTGAAGGCCATCAAGAATGCCTAATAATCTCTTAACAAATCACAAGCATAACAATATCGAACCGACATGCATTTCAAAACAAAACCAAACAAGTGCAAGCAAGTCAGGAATCATCAGAGATCACTCATCACTCAACAAAAACAAGGGGTAAAGAGATGAACCCCAGTGAACTCCTATTACAATATCCATTGAAAACACCACTCAGTCCTAAAATTCACTTACTTCTCTCAATAGCATGCCATGTCCCAATACATTAAGAGCACATGTGTATCACAATTTCATAAAAAAACAAGGCATAAATTAAGAATTGAAACCACTTGAGTAGTCAAATACGAAGGCAGATAACTCGGGGTAAAAGCATGTGCAAAACTAGTGTGTGCAACTAAATAACTAAATGCTAAATGTATAATCATGCAATTAAATGAGAAACGAGTGGTTCAGTAAAACTCTCTGTACTCAATATGGGTGCAAAAAATGATAGCACCAAGACTCTATCAGCTGGGCCATCCAGCTTATATTAATTCATGTAAATCACTTAATCCTTGCAAAAATGAGCACACAAATTAAAATACCACAATACAACTCAAATAATTCAATGAGATAATATGACTCAAAATAAAATAGAAACTCAAAATAAAAGGGAAGTATTTTAAAAAATATTTTTGGAATTTTCTAATTTTTCTTGAATTTTTTTTAAAATTTTCTGGAAAAAAAAAACATTTTTATTTTAACAGGGCCTAAAGCAGCGGAATAAGAAGAACTGCTGCAATAGACTGGCGCTGGACAACTAACGGCGCAACTGCGCCATATCTGGCGCTGCAAATTCCAGCAAGCTCTTTTTTTCCGAGCTTATGCAGCGGTTTCCATATTCGCTGCTATAGAGTGGAGCAGAAGCGCCACAAAAAATCCTTATTTTACCAGAATTTTCTAGACTTGACCAATTTTTCAGCTCTCTAACCTATGCAATGCATGAGACTCTACTACACACTAAAACTAAAAAAATTCATAAAAAAAATAACAATATTAAAGACTCAAGTTATTTTTTAACCTTGGGTTGTCTCCCAAGAAGCACAATGTTATATAGTCTTTGTTAGACTCCTGCAGACTCAAAATTTTATCCGGGATTAATTGCAAATTGCATTAAATCCTTAAGATCATGTAAATTATCACACAAATTTATCATCACAATGCATTCACTCTCAAAGATCATGGCCAAATAAATCAACTTAAAAATAAGGAAGCTAAGGAAATTCTTATCAATGTATTTTCATGAGTGATTCTTTCCCTTGCCATATTCACCTTTGATCCCTAGGTCATTAAAATATATGCTTAGACTTTGAGGCTTACCTGAATTCAGCATCAATTCATCTCCATACACAAAATCCACATTGAAGGATTCTTTTGGTCCGGAGTCAATCAATGCTTCTTTCGCTTCACCCATTGTCATGTCTTTTTCTAGTTCTTGACAAACTGTGAGTTCTTCTTCAGGAAATTCTTTCTCTTCTTCCTCAATGGCTTGACGAGAGATATTTTCTTCAACTAACTCGCAATTCTCATTTTCTTCAATTGGTGCTTCCTCACATTGCTCCAAGGAAACACATTCATGACCAATATGTGATTCATCATGACTTTGATGACCTGCTCGCGTCCGCAGAATGCACGATACTTTTTCTCGTAGGACATTGGATTGGGCTATCCATTCATGTTCTTTTTCATGAGATCCACTTTCACGAATACACTTCCAATTAGCATAAAATTCTTTCTCCAACTACAATATAACACGCCTTTTTTTAGCATATTCTGCTTCAAGTTTAACTCGGAGTTTTCTCTCGAACTCCTCCTGGGCATTCATAGCTTCAATCTTAGATTGCAGCTCCGCTTCATACTTAGCCCAGATTCTTGCTTCAAACTCCTCTTTTGTTTCAGCCATGGTGTTCGCTTGATTGTATCTTGCATGCACTAGCAAACAACAATCAGTAGCACCCGCACAAGAGTAAAAAATTAAAAAAAAATCCTAACAAATAGATTCAGAAAAATTAGAGAATAAACTAAACACAATCCCCGGCAACGGCGCCAAAAACTTGATAGCGAATCTGCAAGTGTACAGATTGCTCGAAGTAATAAAAAGATCGAACCACAGAGATTGCGTAGTTTATACTCTAAATTAACTAAATTTGGAATGAAAGGACGTGAAAGTAAAAATAAAAATAAAGAAATGATTGGTTGTTGGTGTGAAACTTAACTGCAATTAAATAAAAGAAAGTGAATAAACGGTTGAAGTGAATTCAATTTAAAAGCGCGCTAGAGATCCTGATTTCGTTAACCTTCTCCTTATGTATCTTCCCAAACAGTTATAATTATGAATTCAATAGATTATCAAGGTGCTAAACCTAATTGTCCACTTATCAATTCCTTGCATAAGTGTCCCTTCCAATTAATTAGTGATAGTTAATTCCTTAGTACCTAATCCTAATTAATTAGAGATGAAGTTAAATTCAATTCAGGCAAACACAAGCAATTCGTTACCCTTATTCCTAAGGTGCATAGACCCTTGCTCAACTTCTCCCCAAATCCCTAAATTCTACCAATTTTCCAATTGCATAGAAAATAGTATGACAAACTATTGCAATAGAAAGTTTCAATTAAAACAGAGGAGAAATTCAAGACATAAAATAGGATCCATAATCATAACTGAAAATTGGTTCAAAACATAACTTGAAAGAAAACTAAATCAATCACCCTAACACTAGAGAGTTTAGCCTAACAATATCATAGAGAAATTACAAGAGAAATACCTATGAAATGTATCACCTACGGCTGCTGCCGTTCTCCCCCCATTCATGTTCCAATTCAATATATATATATATATATATATGTCCCAAAAACCTAAAATCTATATTGTTGCCACCGCCACCTTTTTCCTTCTGTTCTGTTTCTTTTTTTATCTTCATCACGTGACAACTTTCTATCAATAAGACAAAACTCTTATGGCACGTGCCGCAGCTCCATTGGACCAAGGTTCAAGAGGGGTGGAATCCAGTGCTTCACGCACCTCTGTCTTATGGCAGACCCCCAGCTAGATCGCGCCACGTGGCTGGACTGGAAGCTGCAGCCGTTGATTCCTTGCGGGTGCACCGTAATTTTCATGGACCATCAGCACCTGATCAGCTCCTCTTTATTATTCCGAAAATCCTAATAAAATTCAAATAAAAATCCTAAAAAATATAGAAAAATACTAAAAACCAGTGTTTTAAGACTCGGCTCGGTGATCGACTCGGTGGGGGTACTATGTTAATGGGTCACTGGTCGGACCAGTGAGTCATTGGTTTGAATGCTTGACTCGGTGTATATTAAAAAATGATAAAAAATTCAAATGCTGTATGAAATTAAAGATATATTAAATAAAAGACGTGCATTATCACAATACCATCTGTGGTGTAGTGGGAAAGCCTTTTCCTCCCTTCCATCATGTCATGCGTTCGAATAATTGTCTTTTTAAAAAAAAAGTTCTTCATTTTATTTGAATTGTTTCAAAGGCTCAGCTCTTGTCCAAAAATCAGGCCCAATATATTTAATAATTGCTGGGCCCTTTCAATAATAACATAAAGGATTCATCTTAACGAAATTTAAGAAAAAAAAAAATTGAAATGGTGAAAAAAAAAATTGAAATGGTGACTCGCCGGTTCAACCAAAATCCGGCCGAGTCACCGAGTCAAGCAATGAACCGGTCGAGTCAAACGGTTTCCACCGAGCCACACGCAGAACCGATACGATGTGAGGCTCGGACCGGTCAGGTGACCGAGTCCCGGTCCAACCGATCGGACCGGCCGGTCCGAGCCGAGTTTATAACTATGCTAAAAACATATAAAAATAATAAAATGCATGAAATAATCCTAAGTGACCTAAAATGACTAAAATATCCTAAATAATATATTAAAATGCATGAAAATTATATAGAAAAATAGCATTAAATCCCGGGTCATCAAAGGACCATAGCAAAAAAGTGGCTTCAATTCATTCTTTGGCTTTCATATTTGTCTGCAAATTTGATTGCTATCTTTGCACTATCATAGCTAGATTGATGTTGCACATATTGCTATTATTTTTGGTGGTCTTTAGTCTATCCTACTCTAACATGTCTATCAATCTCACTTCATGAGTTCTTGATTTTCTGTTACTTAGAATGCAGATACGGCTGGAAGCTGCTGATTTGGAAGCAAGTTTCATTTAAATTAGCATGAGTTCATATTAATTCATGTTAAAGTTGGACAACAATCAGGAATAGCACCTAGGATTGCTGCTGATTTGGAAGCAAGTTTCATTTGATTTTTTAATTAGAAATAAATATTTTAATGATTTAAATTCAAAATGTGATACCTTCTTACTTTATGAAGTGTTTTTTGATGCCAGAGAACAGACTCTGGTTGCAGTGAAAACAAAATTTGCATATGATGTTAGGTACTGTGTGGAATTTGTGAGTGTGTTTGTGGATAATTTATAAGAAAAACGGTGGTGATAGTGAGGTAGAGAAATCTGAGAGAGATTTTGATGTAAATGGAGATTTTTCTTTCTTATGAGATTTGACTTTTAACCCTTATCCACACCATTCGAAATTTCCATTACTGTTATTTTCGACACTTATGTCACTGACAAATAATAATTAGGTTCTGATGTAATGTATATTCTTTGTAATGGAGAATTAAGTAGTTGTTTTTAATAGTCTTTTATATATAATTCAGATGCAAACAGTATGCACTCAGGTATCACTTGAGCACTAGAGCAAGTAAAGGGAGCATACTACGACTGCTTTACTATTCTGAATTTTTTTATCGCAGAAATGCTCCGGTAAGTACAACAAGCTTAAAAGTAGAATAGCATGATGAAACTACTAGATATTATTAATGAACCAAACCTTTTAGTTCCAAACTGTCAAGACCTTCGCTAGAAATTTGTTCTAAAGTACGCCCATTAGTACTACTATAAGAGCAAAGCAACATGCTTCTTATATTGGGAGATAGACAAAAGCATAGGTTGCCTTAGTAAGCTTTCTCACCTGGATCAACAGAAAAAGCAACTGAAAATCGATCGATGAAAGTTGGAATGGCAAGGTTTACTCTTAAAGTCTTCGGCAGGAGGAGGATACAAGAGATCGACCTTGAAGCAAGTAAGGTATGGTGGGTGTCATCATCTTCATCGATATTACCCACCAGATAGATTTGAGAAAAGACTTTCAGGCATCCTGAGAGTAAGGAGAAGCTGGATCTAAATGTATTAGAAAGAGCCTAAAAGCTTTTATATATAGGAATAATATTTTACATTAAAATACTTCTACATAAAAATAAATGTTAATAAGATTTCATCGGAATTTTTTTTTGTTACAAGAAAAACATAATATAATATAGTTTGATGTTAATTTTTTACTACATAATAATATAGTCCACTTTAATTTTTTTGTACAAATTATTATAGGAGTTAAATTCTCCTACGGGAAGAAGTATATTTTAATAAGAAAGTACATTCATTAAGTATTAATTAATGTATCAAATACAATAACAAATTTCGCGGTACATTCTTTTTTTTCTAAGATTAAAATGTGTTCTGAATGCTTTATTGGTGATTCTTCATATCTATAATTTGTGTTATTGTCTTTAGGCTCATGAAGAATGTGAAACGACTTCATGTTGATATGGGTCAAACTTAGTTTATTTTATTGTGTAAAAAATGAACTCGCATAATCACGTACATAAAGAATATTTTCTCTTTTTTTTTCATTGTAGATTAAATCAGCTATTGTTTATTAGCCATCATTAAACCACATCCCCTAATATGTTTTGCATAATTTGAGATTTGGTTAACCAATTTTTTTATTAGTTAATCAAATGTACGAAGTTCAATCTATGCAACAAGGGTTTTAATTTAAGATTTTTTGTCCACTTTGCTCATAATTTCATACT